AGAGAGAGAGAGAGAGAGAGAGAGAGAGAGAGAGAGAGAGAGAGAGAGAGAGGGAGACAGACAGACAGACAGACAGGGACATCCACATCCCCTTTAAGGGCACAACTCAGTGACCTAACTCCCTTCCACCATACCCTCCTAAGCTTTGACCGCCTTCAGACAGTGCTACAGGCTGGAGACAAAGCCTTTAACACACAGGCTTTTAGGAACATTCAGGATCCGAACTAAAGGCCACCTGGACAACCAGACTGACGGTATTTCCAGATCTTTCATTTAACAGTATCTGCAAATACTCCTTCCTCAGGTAAAGGTCATAGTCACAGTTCCAAGGTCTGGACAGGAGCTGTTGGTAAAGCTATCTAGCTTACACGGTGCTGTCTCCTGCTCCCTTCCTCAGCAGCTCCAGCCTCGTGCCATCATAGACCCTGTCATAATCATCATCCCCCCATCTCAAGCATCCATCCCCACATTGACAGCCCCTCCCTCCCAGCTCTCTTGAACTCTATGGTCCAATCCCAAGAGCTCTGTTGGGCTGATGTCACTGCCTCTGGTGAATCCCTCTCACTCTCTTGTCAGTGCATTCTTCACCCACTCTGACTACCAGACCCACCTCTGTGGCTACTTCCTGGTAGACTCCCTCACTCCCTTGCCTCTCACTTCCTGAAGTCATAAGCACTGAAGGTCAGCCAATTTCACATAATTAGTGAGAGCCTGTCAAAAAACCAAAACAACAAACCACTGTGCTGGGGACCAGGGAAAAGGCTCTGTTGGTAAACTGCTTTGCAAGCCTGAAGACCAGTGTTCGGCCTCCACAACATATGGTTTTGTTTGTTTGTTGTTCTTAAAGGGACTAGGACAGGTAGAATCCTGTAACTTGCTGGAGCCAGACAAACCTAGTCAGTGGGTCCCAGGCTAGAGAGAAACCCTGTCTCAGGAAACAAGGTGGGTAGAGCCAGAAGAGAGACACCCAACACTGACATCTGGTCTATACATGTATGGGTACACATGTGTACCTCATATGAACAAAGACACTCACAGCCACTCACACTTAAGAGTCCATTCTTTAAAGTAAAAGGCACACTTCTAATTTTATCGTAACTTAAGACTCTCACTCAAAAGTGTTTTAACAGTGTCTGCTCGCTGACAAAATGCCTGAGGTAAGGAACTTCAAGAGGTGCAGAGATTCACTTTGACTTATAGCCTCAGCATGTTCAGCCCCTGGTCTCTCAGCCCATTGCTTAATGGGCCTTTGGTGGAGCAGCTATCGGAGAGCATGCCCCCAGCTGCTCTGGAGCTAATTGACCACGACAGGGAGAAGGCACATGGTTGGGTGAATGACTTGTCTTCCAGCTCATGACCACAAATCTCCAATGGACATGACCTAGTTACTCAGGCATTTCCATTAGGAGTCTCTTTTCCAGTTAGAGCTTTCAGGCTTTTCCTTCCCATCCCCCACAAAGATGACTGGTGTTCTGCTTTACACACAATTGAGTAAATAGATGCCATCAAGGGCCAGTTCGATTCTCTTTCTGTCCACACACCCACAGAGACACTCACATCTCTACCTGTCTTGTCACATTACAGGCACTCTGCTCCCTGAAAACCCATCCCTCAGAATGACAGCCTGAATGAGTGGCAGCTACACCAGGCCATTGATGCACTGGGTGTGTGCCCATGAGGATGCCTGCTGAAGGGTAAGCATGAAGTGTTTGCCACCCTGGGTGTGTGTGTGTGTGTGTGTGTGTGTGTGTGTGTGTGTCTGTCTGTCTGTCTGTCTGTCTATCTGTCTGTCTGTGTCTCTCTCTCTCTCTCTCACCCTGCTAGCACCTACCTCTTCCGTGAAGAATTTCCTTCTTCATTTATGTCTCTTTCTATTCTGCCATCAATATCTTCTCTACAGGGTGACTGTTAGCTACATATCAATGTGTGGAGTCTTCTGTTTAAAAGACAGTCTGTCTACGTGTGTCCCAGCCCTGCAATCCTCCTCAGAGTGTTGACTAGCCGGGAGCATGCTGCCATTGATCTCCTGCACACGCTCCCCAGTCTCTTTGTCTGCTCTCTGGTTCCAAGTCTGGTCAATGGCTTCTCCATTTCTCTGAAGTTCCTTTGTCAAGGTTATCCCTGACCTCCATGCTCTCAAACCTGATTTTATTCAAGGTAGTGAAAGGCCCCTGGGGAGGGGAGACCCCCACTAAAGCCATGAGAACTCACAGCCACCCAAAAGACTCAGAGACACCGATCTTGATGTAACCAGTAAGAGGTCTATTTTAATCAGTGCGCTGAAGCCAAGACCCTGTAACCCACGTAACCCACCCACGCAGAGGCAGAGGAGCTCGACCCCTAGAGAGGGGAGTGTGGGATATTTAAAGGAGAAAACCACAAATCAGGGGAGTGGGGAGGGGTAGCTATGGAAAGTGTCAGGGTTCAGGGAACAATCATGGAGAAAGTGTCAGCCCATTACTCAGCATATGACAGTGTTCGAGGAACAATCATGGAGAAGTATAGGTTTTTTTTTTTTTTTCTCAAGGCTCAATCTTATTCAGCCATATCATTTACATCATCTACTCTGTGGTTAGCCAAGTTCTTGTTCTTGGGGCACAAAGCCCAGAACTAGCCGAGCTGCTCCCCTGACTCTTTTTACTGTTAGTCTGCTAGAAGTGAAAATTCTATTAACCCTTCAGAAGCCACCTACAAGACAAAACAAAGCTGCCCACTCCCTTTCCTCCAGTGTGCTTTCTTGCTGGTCCACAGTTTAATAAATGTCATGATTTTTCTCCTATCCCAGCAAATACTTGTAAGCAGGCTTTGTCACTGGGTCACCTCTCCTTATCCCCACACTAACTCACATTCTTCACTAGTCATTTTATTTTTCCTGGAGTTTTTATCCCTGGATTTAAATGCCATGCCCTTGCTGAAGACTTTCTGATTCACTTCTTCAGCTGGATATCTCTGCCCTCCCAATTTTCAAACCATCCAAATATGGGTTTGGGACCCTCACTGAGTGTTTCAGAAGTATCTCAAACTTAACATTTCCTTAATGTTAGCCTTGATCCCTACCCCTCAACCCCAAAACTCCCTTTCTCAGGCTTCAGAATGGTTTGCCTATCACCAGTTCTATATGTTGCAGGCCACCACATAGCGTTATCCTAGGGAGTGTTTCCGGAAATGAACTCCTAGAACAGGAAGTGCTGAGTCAGAGGCTTATGTTCCTTCTAAGGAACGCAGGTGACCTTCAGTCTTTATGGAGCCTGAATTCCTGAAACCACTCTGACACCCAAACCCACAGGTGTTCGGTCCTGTATATAACTGTATATACTTGCATAAAACCTATGCAATACTCTCATGAACTTTCTAAGCTCTGAGTCACTTACAATGCTTAACAATGATAAGCAAATACTGGCTGTGTTGTGCTGTTTAGGGGCTGATAGGGAGTGTGTGTACATGTCTAAGACAGGTGGGATTTTGTGCTTTAAATACCTTTAACCCACAGTTGTTTGGACCTAGAGATGCTGATGCTGGGGTAAGAAGGGCCACCACCTATCAGTGTCTCCAGACCACTCCAAAGGTCTTTGAAGTTCCCGATTTTATCAGTTCCAAAGTTACGTCAACTTTCTTCTAAGAATGGAGTTTGCCTTTTCATGAATCTTTTCCTAGTCTGAGGCAGCGGGAGTCACCTGGGGTTCTCACCTGGGTGATTCATGTACAGACACTGAATGCAATAGTTACCAGGAAGTTCAGGGGGCTTGCTGAGGCAAGAACTCAACCCAAACCCCTGTCCAGCACCCACTTCGGAGGATTCCATCCAAGCCAGACTCTTAACAGGGCCACTGCCTGCTCTGTTGCTGGCTCTGTACCCACTAAGTCAGGTTTAAAACTTTGTCTTCTTTCTGCTACCATAACAAAGTATCCTAGGTAGTCAGCTTAAGAGGAAGAAAGATTGGAGTTTATTTTCAAATAAAAACATTTCTTTAAAGTTACACAAAGTGATAGGTTCATCATGGTATCCTCACATGGCTGTCCTTGGTCTGCATTGACCCTCCTCTTCCCCTCTCTCCTCCAGAAAGACCTGTTTCCTCCCTCAGGTCAGCTTCTCTTTGCTCTCATGCCACATATATGGCAGCATGCTTTCCTTTTATTAACATTTATTTATTTATTTATTTATTTATTTATTTTTGTTATGTATATATGTATGTACGTGCATGTGCATGCGTGTATGTGTGTGTACACATGAGAGCAGTGCATCAGAGTCCAGCAGAGGGTGGGGTCATCCCCCTCCCCCACCCCAAGCCACTCACATGGCTGCAAGAGCAATATTCCCTTGTCATCTCCAAGCCTGTCTCAGTCCCCACCATCCCTTCTTATCCCTACATGCCTCAGACTCCTCGCCTCTCACTGTCTCCACCCTGTTTTCATGTTCTATACATACATATGCACATGTATGTGTATATACATATAGCCATTCACATATATAAAATTGAATCACGATTCTGTATAGAAGAGATCATGTGATATTTTTCTTTGACTACGGCTTATTTCACTTAACCTAGTGTAACTGTTACACTATGGCAGGAGAGAGGATATTTTAGATTTTTCCTTTATCTATAGTTTATACGTGCTCTGGGTAGTTTTATGTCAACTAAGGGAGGGAACCTTAAATTGCCTCCGTAAGAGCAGGCTATAGGCAAGTCTATAGCCAATTTCTTAATTAGTGATGTAGTAAGGCCCAGCCCACTGTGAGTGGTGCCAACCCCGGGCTGGTGGTCTTGGGTGTCATAAGAAAGCAAGATGGCCAAGCCATGAGGAGCGAGTCAGTAAACAGCACCCCTCAAGGCCTCTGCATCAGCTCCTCCCTCCAGGTTCCTGCCCTGCTTGAGTCCCTGCCCTGACTTCTCTAAATGATGGACTATTACCTGGAAATTTTAGCCAAATAAACTATTTCCTCCCCACATTGCTTTTGGTTATGCCATTTCATCTCAGGGATGGATAGTTGTAATAGCCTGTTCTGCCCCACGTTTGGGGGCCACCACTTTGCCCCGGCCTGAGCTGCTGCTCTGGTCTGTGGATCAGGGTCTAGCAAGAGAGAGAGAGTGGGGATGGAGGGGGAAGAGATGCAAAGAATGGAGACAAGACAGAGAGTCTGATCAAGTCTCGTTTATTGAAAGGAAATCATGGGTACATATAAGCACAAGCAGGGGAACACAGCTGAAGACACTTTACCACATGCGCCTTGCCGCTGGGGGCACTAAACAGCAAAACAAGATATATGAGAAAAACAAGATGTTTATCAGAGTGTGCTCAGCTGTTGTGGGCTATTGAAAAATTGAAAAAAAGCCTCTTGTCAGGGTTTACGGCTTGAGATGGCTGCAAAGATGATAGCCACTTTCTGCTAGGAGTCGGCTCCCAATAGATAGTGGCAGAACTAAGAGAACACGTGTATTTTGCCTGTACATATGTCTGTGTACCACATGCATGCAGTGTCCACAGAAGCCAGAAGAGGGCATCAGATTTCCTGGAACTGGAATTAGAGAATTTTGTGAACCACATGTGGATTCTGAGAGTTGAACCCAGGCCCTCTGGAAGAGCAGCCAGTGTTCTTAACCACTGAGCCATCTCTCTAACTCCTGCAGAATAAACCAGCACCATGTATATTCCTGATGTCTTCATTACCCTTTCATCTGCGAATGGATGGCAGCATGGCTAAGGTGAATAGATCCACAATAAGCATGGATGTTCAACTATCTCTGTGGTATGTTGAGTTAGAATCATTTGGGTATATAGTTAGAGCCTATGGCTGTTGTGTGGAACCTCAGTACTGATTTCCAAAATGATTGCACTAGTTCACCACCATGTATGAAGTCCAGGGTAAAAAAAAAAGTCTCTTTCTTTACATCATGGCCAGAATTTATCATTTCTTTTCTTGCTGATTGCCATTCTGACCAGGGTGAGGTGGAATTTCAAATCAGTTGTATTCCCCTGATGACTGAGGAAGCTAAACAATTTCCACATATTTATTGGTCATTTGTAAATGACCCTTTAAAATGTATTTGTCTGCACGTGCATGTGTGGATGTGCGGTATACATGCATAAAACACATATGTGTGCAGCTGAGTATACACGTGCATATATGCATGGGTGGAGGCCGTCTTTTATTATCAGTCACTTTCTTCCCTTGAGACAATCTCTCGCCGACTGGATAGCTTTCTGGGACCAGCAAGGCCCAGGAATTCTCCTGTCTCTGCCTCATTCCCCCTGCTCTGAGCTAAGGCTCCAGGTTTATAAGCAGACACATAGAGCATTCCACATGGGCTCTAGGGATCCAAACTTAGGCCCTCATGCTAGAGCAGTGAGCACTCTCAGTCACTGACCTGTCCCTCAGCCCATCATCTGTATTTCTCCATTTGAGGACTGTCTATTCCAGTCATTGGTCCATTTAGTGAATTAATGATTTTGGGTTGTTGGGGCTTCTTATAGAATCCAGGTGGTAGCTCCTTTCTGATATATAATTGGCAAAGACTTTCTCCATTGTATAGATGGTCTCTTTGCCTGCTGACGGTTTCCTTTGCCATCTATCCCTTTAATGTAATTTTTTGCTAATTACTTCCTGTGCCGTTAGGAGGACTTTTCAGAAAGTCTTTGCCTATAGTTGCAGGTAAAAGTATTTTCCTCATTTTCTATAGCAGGTCAGAGTTCAAGT